GAGGCAGGTGGATAACTGAGTTTGAGGCTAGCCTGGTCTACAGAGTGAGTTCTAGGACTGCCAGGACTATACAGAGAAACCCTGTCTTGAAAAAAACAAACCTTTAACGAATAAGGGGGGAAAAAGCAAAAAAAATGGGCTTGTGATCATATTCAATCACTGGCCTCTTGACTACATGTCTGAATTCTGTGGGAAGAATACGATCCTACTAAAAGTTCACAAGCAAGGCATCTCTGCTAAGTGGGCCTGGAGTCCAAACATTGTAGGACCCGAGTTAAAAATTTATTTAAAACAAAAGAATCATAGGCACATGGTGCACATACATACATTCAGGCAAAACACTCATAAAATAAAAATCTTTTTTTTTTAAATTAAAAAAAATAAAAGAATCCAGCTGGGCGGTTGGTGGCCCACGCCTTTAATCCCAGTATTGGGGAGGCAGAGCTAGGCAGATCTCAGTGAGTTCGAGTCCAGCCTGGTCTACAGAGGGAGATCCAGGACAGGCTCCAAAACTACACAGGGAAACCCTGTCTCGAAAAAAAAAAAAAAAAAAAGTAATAAATAAATAAAATAAAAGAATCCTATCTCCTTCTAGAGTTGCAAGTTCCTCTTTTGTACTGTTGAAGACTTTATAGTAAAGTAGGATACAGGAGGAAAAAACAGTTATTTCATGGTTATCAACAAATGAATTATAAAATTTATAAAAAGAGGTAAAAAGTCACAGATTAGCCAACACAATTTTGAAAGTGAAGATAATCAGAGAGCTAACACTATTAACGTTTAAGACTACAATAATTAGGGCTAGAGAGATAGCTTAGCAGTTAAGAGCACTTGCTACTCTTTCAGAAGACCCAGGCTCTGTTCCCATCACCTTCATGGCAGCTCTTCTGGCTTCCATGGGCAGTGCATGCACAGGCATACATGCAGGCAAACTACTCATACACATAAAATAAACATAAATATAAACCAAGTGTTTTGGAGCACATCTTTAATTCCAGTACTTGAGACTATCTCTGTGAGTTCAAGGCCAGTCTAGTCTACATAGTGAGTTCCAGGCCAGTCAAGGATACACAGCAAGACAAACAAAAAATGTTAATAAAAGTAAATTTGGAAAAGACCACAATAATCAATACAAGTACAGAATGGAGAGCCTATAAACAGAAGTAATCTTTGACAAGAAGAGCAAAGGCAGTACCAAAGAGTAAAACAGTACTTTTGACAACTAGTACTGAAGTAACTGGACATCCGCATGCACACACACAAAAGAATCTAAATATACTTACACCTCCAAGAAAATAAACCTCAAAGGAATCACAAACCTAAATGTAAAATGAAAAACAAAATTTCTGCACATCAATTTCAACACCAACACAAAATCTAGACGATGTTAGGTCTGGTGATAATTTTTTAGATAACACAGTGAAGGCAAGATCCAGGGATAGGCAAGGAGAGCATGCTCAGACCTGAGTTCAATCCCTGACACTGAAAAATAAAGACAAAAAAGAAAAGCCAGGCTCAGAAGTCCATACCTGTAATCCCACCACTTTGGAGGCTGAGACAGAGAATTACTAAGAGTTTGAGGCCAGTCTGAGTTATACAGAATGAGTCTCTGCCCCCTCCTTCAAGACTGAAAAGAAAGCCACACTGAGCAGAATGGTTGCTACAGCAAGTTAGAGGTCACCCTTCAGTACATAAGAATCATAACCCCAAATGGAATTAACGTGAAATGCTCTCTAGAAATCAGCCTTACACATGAAAGTAGAAATACACTTAACCCCAAGCATGGTAAGTAAGGGCTGATTTCAAGGACTAGCTCTGCAGTCCTGGGGAGAAAACATGGATGGGGAAGGGGTTCCTTCTTTTTTAAAAGCAGTCGTCAGGAAAAGAACTGCTGAGCAGAGAAAGGCCTGGTACTGAAACACAAAGCTCACTTAGAAGCACTGGACCCAATGAAAAGAGCTCAGTTAGTCACTGCAGTTGGGAGAAGGGACAATTTTAAAAGAGTAACAAAACAGCCCTTCTCAAAGGTAGACTGGATTCCAAGTTTAGACCTTGCAAACAAGTTTAACTTTTATTTTCCAGCTACAAAAGCCATGGAAGCAACTGATGACATTTGAGAAACACCTGGCAACAGGCTACAGAATGAACTAGATAGAGATTAGAACACATAAAATGCTTAGATCCCTTGGGGCCTCCTGTTACCATGTGTCTAAGCAAGGACAGGTAGTTCTGGGCTGTCCCTAGGCCTTGGAGACCACAGTAGAGAGGACAGACTTCTGGGGAACAGAGTAAAGAAGATGGAGGGACTGGAGCCAGACTGCTGTTAAGGCACAGACTGAAAGAAGTACATTCTGAGGTGGGGAGAAGCCAAAGGGTTAAACCTGGGACAGGCAAAATGGACTGAGTTGAAGCAATGTGATGAATAAACAGACCCAGCACAAAGCTACACCCAGACTACTAAGCCTGTTTTAAAAGTAGTTCCCACCCACTTCCCCACATCTTAAATCACATTTTCTCCTTATTCAACATGTTCTGTAACTACAGTCTTTCCCAAGCACAGAACTGACAGGCAGTTTACAACATGCCACAGTTTTTTCTTTTTTCTTTTCTTTCTTTCTTTTTTTTCTCTCAAGACAGGGTTTCTCTGTGTAACAGCTCTGGCTGTCCTGGAACTCACTTTATAGAACAGGCTGGCCTTGAACTCAGAGATCTACCTGGGATTAACAGCATGAGCCACCATGCCCAGCAGCATGCCACATTTTAACAGGTACTGAAATCCAAAAGGAAAGCCCTATCTTTAAGACTAACCCCTGAGTAGGACGCAGGCCTTTAATCCCAGCACTCAGGAGGCAGAGGCAGGCAGATCTCTGTGAGTTTGAGGCCAGTCTGGTCTACAGGGTGAGTTCCAGGACAGTCAACGATACAGAGAAACCCCGTCTTGAAACATGCCCCCCTCCAAAAAAATGACTAACTGCTGTAGAGAAAAAGAAAAAAAAAAAACAAGACATTCTCAGTGCTTTTGACTGGTTTGAATAAAGCAGATTTAACTGATGAGTGAAACGCTCCCTGGAGAGAACCACCAATAGGCCTAAGGCTGGATAGAGTTGTCCAAACAGACCCTAGGCCAATGTATAAGAGGGGAACACCAGAGAGCGGCCAATAGATCTCAGGCAAGTCACTCATTTAGAGTTTTGGGTTTGATGAAACAGTTTCATGTAAGCGAGGCTGGCCTCCAACTTTTTAACTCCTGATACTCCTACCTCCCCCTCCCCAGTGGTGGGAGAAGCACATACCATTAGGCCCAGCTTTACTTTTTTTTTTTTGGTTTTTCAAGACAGAGTTTCTCTGTGTAATACCTGGTTGTCCTGGAACTCACTGTGTAGACCAGGCTGGCCTCAAACTCAGAGATCTGCCTGTCTCTGCCTCACTCCCGAATGCTCGGATTAAAGGCCTGCACCACCATGCTCAGCTTCAGCTTTACTTCTCTAGGAAGAGAATGTGCCACAGTAATCTCTACCATTCTGTTGGGTGAGAACTGTCAGGCCTGCCAGGGTTTAAGTTTGGGGACAAGTTTCTCTAGGACACTCAACAATGATTTGAACATCTGTGGTCATAGACATGCATATCTGACACATCCACATATCCATGAGGGGCCTGCAACACAAAGAGTTAATTTTGCTGCATTCATGACTCTTGGTGAAAGACTGGGCGTGGCAAAGGAATCGAATGACTAGAACTGGATTTGAGGATTATTGATGGCAGCCAGCCAGCCAGCCAGTTTCTAGACACTTGGCACTCAACCGGGTCAACCAAACAGAAGCTAGTAAAAAATGACCAAATGGGTTTTTAAAGGTCAAACAAAAGGACCCGGACGTACTCAACACTGAAAGCTGAGCACTTGTGCAATAACAGCAAAGGGATAGCTACACTTCTCTACTAAGTCTGAGTACATAAAAATCTATGTATTTTTAATCTAAGATGAAATATTTAAACTTAAAAGGAGTAAGGAACGCCAGGCAGAGTGGCAGATGTCTTTAATCCCAGCACTCGAGAGGCAGAGCCCGGATTTCTGTGAGTCTGAGACCAGCCTGGTCTACAGAGTGAATTCCAGGACAGTCAGAGAGATACAGTGTGTGTGTGGGGGGGGGGGGGGGGGGGGGGGGGGGGGACCAAGACAGCTCCGACAGGGAGTGAGGAACCAGGCATGGTGGGGCTTATAATCCAGCACTTTGGGAGGTAAAGGCAGGATCATCGGTGATTCAAGGCCAGGCTCCAATACCTAGGAAGTTCAAGACTATTTTGCCTACAAGAGACCCTATCTTTCAAAAGAGGAGGAATTCCTTCTACTTCACACTTATTTTTGGAGCCACGCCTCCAGACACTGGCCAGTAACACAGGTCCACGAAGGCTTAAGAACCTCAGGAGATGAGTGGGTGACTGCTACCTTTCATCAACACATACCACCTCCTGTCTCCCTCTCCCTCACTTCGGGAGACAGTGTCCCAGCATGTAGCTCCGGCTGGCCTGAAACTCGCTATGTAGGCCAAACTGGCCTCGAACTCAGAGACCAGCCTGCCTCGGCCTCCCAAGCGCCAAAGGAGTATTTCTGGTGGGGGAAGGGGTTGGAATCAAACAACAGACTAGAGGCACGGCAAGGGAAAGTTACCCGGTGAGTTTCCCCCCCCCCCCCCCCCACTCTCTTTCTAAAGCCCAGCCACAACATCCCTTTTTCATTCAAGGCCTTCATAAGGAAACGGCTTCCTAGACACATCTATTTTGAGCTTCCGTAAAGAATGTACTTGTGTGACTGCATAGTATTGTTCTCCCGCAAGGGACCGGAGGCATCCCAGCATACATTTTCCCAAAGCTCTCCCGAAGGCCGCCTGCCGCGCTCCGGGACGTGCTGCTGCGGACCCGCGGCGCTCACCTCTATCCCGGCCGCCGCCCCGCCCCGTCCCCCCCCCGCCCCCCGCCCCCCGCGCGGCGCCGCAGCCACCGACCTGATGACACTGATGTGGAACTGGTCCTCGCGAAGGCCCCGCCAGGCACCGGGCAGGAACTCCTTGCACCACAGGTAGGCCCTGCGCCGCGTCCGGGGCTCAGGTTGTTCGTCCGCTAGCGGCGGCGACGGCGGCGGGAGCAGCGCGAGAGGCTGGGTCCGGCCACCAAGCTGCTTGGGCTCCAGCTCGACTGCGGCGTCGCGCTGCTGCCCCACGCCGGGCGCCGGGGCAGCGTTGCCACCACAGCTCAGCAGCAGCCCGAGCGGCGACGGCTCCGCCTCGCCCCCGGTGCAGAACTTGGTTTTCATGCCGGACAGGCGGCCGAGAAGGCGCGGACGGCCGCAGCGCGAGAGGGCGACGCTCAGGGTCCGACTGGATGCCCGCCTGGGGGGGGGGGGCCGGGCGCGGGAAATGGCTCGCCGGCTTCGCTGGCTGGCCGGGCGGCGGTTGTGAGAGCGCGCGGGGAGGCGGCGGCGGCGGCGGCGGCGGCGACGGTGGCGACGGCGGGGAGAGGCAGCAATGGATGGCGGGCAGCGGTGGCGAGAGACGAGCGCGGAAGGCTGACGGCGGGCGACTGCTGTAGTGGGCCGCGGCGCTCGCTCCTTTACAGCGCCGCACGCGGAGCGCCAAGCGTCACCGCCCGCCCCCGCGCTCACCGCTGATTGGACGCTGCGGCGCATCACAACCGCCGCCGCCCTCGCCACGCAGCTCTCCTATTGGCTGCGGCACAGCCCCTCCGCGCCTCAGGCGGTGAGCCCACGGTGAGGGAGGGGCCCGCGCACCAAGGGGCGGGGCCTGGTGCAGGGGTCCCGGGGGTCCCGGAAAGACCAGCCATCTCGTGGGTCGGCGCTCACTCGGCGGCGTCTTTACGGACTCCGGCCTCCCAAGGCAGGAGAGGAGAAGCCTCTGCAGCTTTGGCAGACGCTGGAGTGGGACCCGTTCCTTGAGAGGGACCCTTTCCTTAGACGCCCCCACGTCTGAAAGCGGTGACTTCAAAGGATCTGGGGGCTTGACAGGGGCTGGCAGGAAACTGGTGTCTGGAGGCTGTCTGCTTTTTCCGCGTGACCTTGGGGCAAGGCAGCTCCCGAAGGAGCTCCGTGGGTGTGTTTTTACAACATTTCCCAGGAGCTGTGCGAGATGCATCCACGCCAGGTCCAACTCTGGGCCGGAGGCATTACTATGCGCGGTTCAGATATCAAAAGGGAGGTGACTGAGTCAAGGCCACACACACCATTTGCCAACTGGAAGCACTCCTGTTTCCGAAGAAGCCTCCCTCTACACGCTTGCAGCCTCAGTTTCCCTGTCCGTGGTGCTGAGGATGTCGGCTAGATCTCAGGACATCTTCCCAACAGCCTGGCCTAGGCAGCTGCCAGGATTAATATACAAAGGTGCTTGCTTCGCGATTCCTGGCTTTGTGGACGCTGTCATCTGCCCCCCCACTCCTCTACCGGATGTCCAATCGCGTGACCATGACTAATGTACCTTTGCTGTAGGGCATGGAGGGGGGCCAAGGCCCCTTCTCTGTATACCCACACATTGCCTCATTCTTTGGCCTCCTTGTTCAGTTCTTCCAGGAAGTAATTTGAAGTGCAGAAAATATAAACTACAGGTCTGTGTGGTGGGACATAACTGGGAAAAAAGATTTCCCCAACTGCCAGAGGTCTAGGAAATCCAGAGCCCAGCATGCAGAAAATGGGTTTTTTGTAGAGTTTCACAGTCTTCAAAAAGAGTGGGTACTTATCTGAACGTGCTTTCCCCCCGAAATGATCTTATTGAACAAAAGAGTGCAAATGATCTGGACATAGTGGCACACACCTTTAATGTCAGCACTTAAGGGGCAGAAGCAGGAAAATCTCTGTGAGTACTAGGACAGTCAGAGTTACATAGCCAGACCCTGTCTTAAAAAAAAAAAAAAAAAAAAAAAAAAAAAAAAAAAAAAAGCGGGGTTGAGGATTTAGCTCAGTGGTAGAGCGCTTCCTAGCAAGCTCAAGGCCCTGGGTTCGATCCTCAGCTCCAGAAAAAAAAAAAAGGAGACTTTGGCAGGCCTGGAGTTGAACTCCAGAGAAGTAGGGGGAAAAGGAGGTCTGGCCTAGCTTGAAGTGGGAGCTCCACTGGCTGCTAGGAAGGCTGAGATTTCAAGGTCTCCATTCAGGAAGGCATTTAGATAAGGGAGCCAAGGACTTTGAAAACACCAGCCCATGTGGATGGAGGTGGAGCCTTGTCACTGGCCAGCTCAGGTGACTGGCCCTTTGTCCTCATACCAATCACCATAATCTCAGAGGAATGTCGGAAAGCTGGCTGAGGAGAAGCTGCTCCAGAAGAAAGGAGAGCTCTGTAATTTGAAGTAACTTTCTCTCTGACCTCTGCTGGTTTAGACTATGAGAACCCACAGGCGCCTTCTGTGGCAGTAAGAGGTCGCCCCAGTAAAAGGGTTGGAAAGGTTCCCAGGACTCAAAGCTTGGAAAGTACATGAACTTGGAGTGTGGGATAGATGGGAGGGCTGTGGGATTCAGGGAGCTGAGAAGGCACAGTACAGACATTAGCACAATTTGAAGCTACTGCAAACTCGGCTTTCCCCCTCTAGAAGCGTAAGTCCTTGGTGTTAATTTAAGGCAAACCAGTGGACAGTGCTTGGTAGTCAAAGTATAACATGGCTGTTAGGCCCATTTTGGTGGCACAGGTCTGGAATCCCAGCACATGGGAGGCAGAAGCGGAAAATCAAGAGTTCAAGGCCATCTTCAGCTATATAATGAATTTGAGGCCAGCCTGGGCAAAATGAAACCCTGTGTCAAAACAAAAAGAATGACTGTATAATTTACATATAGCCTGGCTGGGAGTGGTGGCATAGGTAGGCATGCATGTAACTCTAAAGCTTGGTAGATTGAGAGATTGAGACAGAGTGATTCTTTCTAGTTTGAGGCCAGTCTGGGCCACATACAAATTCCAGCCAGAGTAAGACATTAGGACACACACACACACACAAGGGGGAGGACCCTAATGACACATGTGTAAAATTGCCGTAATGGAGCCTATCACTTTGATGTTAGCTTTTAAAATTAAGAAAAGCCTGGGCAGTGATGACACATGCCATTCATCCCAGCTCTCAGGAGGCAGAGGCAAGCAAATCTCTGAGTTTGATGCCAGCCTGGTCTATAGAGCAAGTTCCAGGATGGTCAGAGCTACACAGAGAAACCCTGTCTTCGAAAACAAAAACAAAAAACAAAAAAAGAAGAATAAAAGAAAGAAAAAAAGATGCTGGGGAGATGGCTCAGTGATTATTAACAGCATTGGTTGCTTTTCTAGGGGACCCAGTTTCAATTCCCAGCATCCACCTGGCAGCTCACAAGCATCTTTAACTCAATTCCAGGGGATCTGGTGCCTGATTCTTGCCTCTGAGGGCACCAGGCATGAGCCAAGTGCATTTATTTGCAGTCAAAGCACTCATACGCAGAAAATAAAAATAAATTTAAATTTTTAAATTTTTTTTTTAAAGAAAAAGAAACTGCAATTCAGCTTTGAAATCTCCATTTTTCAGGTCAAGAAATAGACGCTCAGAGTAGCTAATAATTACCCAAGTCTGGGGAGATTGCTCAATTGCTCTTTAGGTAAAATGCTTTTTTTTTTTTTTTTTTTTTTTTTTTTTTCCCAAGACAGGGTTTCTCTGTAACAGCTCTAGCTGTCCTGGAATTTACTCTGTAGACCAGGCTGGCCTTGAACTCACAGAGATCTGCAGCCTCTGCCTCCCCCCCCCCCCCATGCTGGGATTAAAGGCTTGCGCAGCGTAAGTGCTTCTTGTACGAGCATGAAGACAGGAGCTCCATCCCCGAATGTACAGGAAAACAAAAAGCTGGGTGTGGTGGCATGTGCTTAGATTATAGTCCCAGTGATGGGGTGACAGAGTCAGGTGGATTTCTGGGCCTCACCAGCAGCCAGCCTAGCCAATTTGTCGAGTTCCAGGCCAGGGAGAGACCCTGTCTCAAAAAATAAAGTGGACAGTGAAAGGTTCCAATACCCCAATATTAAGTCTCTCTGACTAAGCAGTAAGCCAAATCAAGCGGAATTAAAAATAAAAGACCAGGTTTATTGAGCAAAACGCTCCCCAGTGACCTTTCTGGCCCCCCAGAGATGAGACCCGGAAAGGAGACTGGGGAAAAAAATCAAGTGGCCGCTCTCAAGTAGGCAGTTTAAATACCCTGTAGGCTCGGGCTTGAACAGCTCCAGGGAAGGACTCTCTTGGTGGGTTTTCTGAGATGGGTGGGGTTTGGAAAGGGGAGGAGTGGGACTGAGGCGGAGCTTCCAGCTGAACAAACAGCACTCAGGAATATCACCTGAGGTTGCCTCCTGATCTCTACACACACATGCACCCATATGAGGACACTCCCACATGAGCACAACTCCTCCCCCTCACACACATACACACACCACACACACACACACACACACACACACACACACACACACACCACACCCAAGACCACACAGCTAGGAAATGATAGCCTGGATCTGAACTTAGGCAGTGTGGATACAGGGTCAAGTCAACGCCACTTCAAGCAGCTTCTACCCTCTGTCATTCCAGGCTTTCCAATTCACGAGAAAGAGAGAGAGAGAGAGAGAGAGAGAGAGAGAGAGAGAGAGAGAATGAATGAATATCTGATTGGTCCAGCTCCAGCTCCTCTGTGCATGTCCTGTCATGGTATGTGTGACTAGACCAACGCTCAGTGCCCTTTAGTCAGGTGCCCAGGCCTAGTCCAATCAACTGGCACCAAGTGGCTAGTACCAGCTTCGTTTGCCTAAACAGTGTGGACTGGCTCCAGGACAGGTGTCTACTGTTAGTACCTGGGGCAATTCTGAATTTAGGTGGAGCTCCTGTAACAGACCTGTGCCACACACAAATCCCTACTTTGAAGAAGGCCAGGTCTTCACTCCTGTCACAAACACACCCTGGAGGTGTACCCCGCCCCCTTCTAGAGCCTACATATCTCAGGGAAGGAGAGGTACAGCCTTGGAGTCTGGCTGCCTGATACTAATCTTGCCATTTTTACTTCCTTGGCATCTGCCTTCAGCAGGCCTTGTCTGAGTCTTTTCATTGTCTATCAAATGCAATAATAGCGTAGCTCATGACAGGGATGAAGGGTTGTAATAAATTTTCCTGTTGAAAGCATAAACAAGTCGTTTGAGAAGAAGAAACTTTAATTAAGAAAAGGACTTTATGAAACTGGCCCGTAGGTATGTCTAGAGGTCATTTTCTTGATTAATGATTGATGTCTCAGGGTTCAGTAGACCCTGCCACCCCTAAAGCAGATGGCCCTGGGTTGTATATAAAATGAGCTGAGCAAGTCATGAGGAGCAAGCAAGCCAGTAAGCAGCGCTCCTCAGTGGTCTCTGTTTTAGTTCCTGCCTGCCTCCACTTTCTCAGCGATGGAGAGAAACCTGAGAGTTGTAAGATAAAAAAAAACAACCCTTTCCTCTAAGTTGCTTGTGGTCGTGGTGTTTATCACTGCAATAGACCCCCAATGCATCCTTAGCACTGGAGCAGTCAGTTCCACCTGAATGTGACATACTTTAACACTGAAAGAATGGGCTTGCATGAAAAGGCAACAATGTCCACAGACACTGGGAAGCGTCCGTGGGGCACATTTGGGGACCTTTGGAAGGCTGAGAAGGCATTCACCTGGCAGTCAGAACATTCCAGAGATTACAGCAACATCTTCAAGCATGCTCATAGCTCTTGAGCTGAAAACTCTGTACCCAAGGAAAAGTGTTATCTGGGCCAGGGAAATGACTCAGTAGGTAAAATCACTTGCAACCAATCCTGAAGACCTGACTTCTCTCCCTGGAACTCACAGTGGAAGGAGGGGACCAGCTCCCAAAGTTACCTTCTGACTCTATCACACGTATACATGCCACACTAATAAAAAGCATTTTTATTAAGAAATTTTATTATTCATTTTACATACCAATCACAGATTCCCCTCTTCCCTCCTACATACCAATCACAGAAACCCCTCCAGCCCCCCGCCACACATGCATAAAAAACATTTAAGTTTAAAAAGGCTGGCCATGGTGGTACACACCTTTAATCCCAGGACCCTGGAGGAAGAGGCAGGAAGATCTCTGTGAGTTCCAGGACAGCCAGGGCTGTTACACAGAGAAACCCTGTCTCAAATAATGAAAAGAAGACAGAGGAGGAGGAGGAGGAAACAAAAAGACCCTGTTTTAAAAACACAAACCGGTGAGCGAGGTGGCTCAGCAGCCACATGCAGGCACATGCCTCCAAACCTAACAACCTGAGTTTGAACCCCAGGACTCACAAGATGGACGGAGAGAATCAACTCCCACAGGGTTGTCCCCTGACCGACCCACATATGCACACGATGGCACACATACGCCTCTCCCACAATAAACAAGTAGATTTAAGTAAACATGTATTTTAGAGTTAGGAATGAAAAGTTATCAAAAGCAAACTTTCCCATGCATAAAATATCCCATTGCCACATCATCTCTAATTGACCAGAAGTGAACCGAAGAGCCCAGCCCCTGCAGGGTGCTAAGCCAGGTTAAAGTCACTTTGTAGGAACAGAGCGCAGGGCCACTTTCCACACGTCTCTGTGGCTTCTGTGTGCCCACCATAGGGCTTGGCAGCATAGGTACAAGGAAGCAGATCTTCTGGCTCCTGCTCTAATCTAGATGGGCAAAGTGCCCACCTCACCCCCTCTCCTCACCCCTGGTTTGTGTATTATCTTGTCTTCCCACCAGACTGGAGCCTCTGAGAAAGCAAAGGAGCCTGATGTTTGGCAACCCTTAGCAACACTGGCCGAATGAATAAATCGGTGAATTCCGATGGCTGAGACTCCATTTCCTCAGCTGTGAAGTAGGGATTAGAACAGCAGGTATGCAGGGTGGTCCAGAGGACCAAACAGGGATACTTGCCAAGTGCACCGTGAACACAAAACACTGCTAATGTTACCTACAGTGTAGCTAGTGCCGCCTCCCTCCCAGGGCCAGTGTTCCAGGATGAATAATGAATGCAATTGTAGCATCTCATGGCCAAGGGAGACAGTGTTGTGGAAAAAAAGAGGTGGAAGGTACACGGCGTGGTGTGTCGGTCTGCTTACCAAAGTGTCAGTGTGACCAGGGCTTGGCAGAAGCTTTGCTATGCAAGCTCTAGCTCTGGGAAGAGGTTATTCAAGCTACACAACCTTTTCTTCTGGGACAAAAAGACCAAAGAAGTGTTTCCAGAGTTGTGATGGGTGCTGAATTCTGAAGACTGTGCAGAAAGTGGGGGATGGGTGCGGTTCACTACTCTGACTGTTTCTTCTGTCCCAGACCTAGGGCCAGACAAGAGTTCCTGCTGTCTTGGGGAAGACCAGTACTCTCCAGAACACACAGTTCACCCAAGAGCTTTTCCTCTGCCCGCAACTCCACCTGCAAGGCCTACTCCCCAGAAAGGTTTTCTGAGGGATGGGAATATGTCTCAGAGTTAGAGTGTTTGTCTAGTCTAGCATTCACGGGCCCTGTGTTCTGTTCCTAGCACAGAGTGCCACCCCACCCCCACCACCAAAAAAAGTTTTTTTGAAGGTAGAGGCTGAGGTAAGGAATGGCTCAGTCAGCAAAGTGCTACCTGCATGGAGAACTTGAGTTTGAATCTGTAGCACCCATTTAAAAGGCTAGGTACACGGCATGCCAGGAGATAATTCCAGTCAGTGCTTCAGAGATGGAATGACAGGAAGATGCCTGGGGCTGGCAATCCAGCCAGCCTAGGTGAACTGGTAAGATCCCAGGTTCAGTGACAGTCCATATCTCCAAAAAAATAAAGTGGAAAGAGACTGAGGAAGACAGGCAATGTTGATCCCTGCGCTAAACCCCTGCCCCCACATACACACCCTCAAAGCAAAAAACAAAACAAAATAAAATAAATAAAAAAAAGAAAACCAGAAAGGGCTCGTGAGTCTGCCTCTAGGAGCAGCTTTGAGCCCTTTCCCTTTGACAAGCATAAGTTGAATCTATTTAGCTCTTGTTTCCCTGACCACAAGGGACTCACTGGGGAGTGAAACTTGCCCAAGGCCGGCAGATCCTCCCGCCCCACCAAGACTCCTTCAAGGAGCCTTATCTCTCTGCCCTGCATTCCTGGTCCAACAACACTGGCCATAGACACTTGGCACAGGAGGTTCTCCAGAGGGCCAGGCCGGAGAAGCAGAGCCCTGGCCCAGGTTCACACAGGACCAGGCACCGCGCCAGTTCTGAGCCTTCAAATATTGATGAGAACACAAAGAGGCCAACAGGCTGGAATACCATATGCTCAGGATTGAATTACAGCCCCAGCGAGCAGAGTGACAGGGACCCTTTGCTGAACATTCAGGTTGGGCACCAGCGGCTCTCTGAGCCCAAGTATGGTCTTATTTGGCATCCTTCTGCCATACACACAATCTCGGTACCCACAGCGGGGGGGGGGGGGGGGGGGGGGGGGGCAGGGCTAACTCAAAGAATACATGTGACACGATGCCCAGAAGTCTATAGGATGGGGCCTTACTCCTCTCACACCTCATTTGCATGAACCCCAAGCATAGCATTTTGTAGATAAATCTGTCGTTGGAGGCCATACTCCTTCCTATGAGCTGTGTGACTTCTTTTTTTGTTTTGTTTGTTTGTTTTGAGACAGGGTTTCTCTGTGTAGCCCTGGCTGTCCTGGAACTCCCTCTGTAGACCAGGCTGGCTTCGAACTCAGAGATTCACCTGCCTCTGCCTCCTGAGTGCTGGGATTAAAGGCGGACATTTGCCACCATGACCCTGCATGAACTGTGTGACTTCACAAGGAAGTCTCTCCTCCAGGTCCCTCCTTGGCCAGGATTCTCTGGCTCTATTTACTCTCCACTTCTCTTTTTCTTTTTGGGGTGGGTGGGTGGACGGGGGTGAGGCAAGTTTTATACATAGCCCTGACTGACCCCGCACCTTGCGGCAGCTCTCCAGCTTGTGCCTGCTGCATATTGGGGTTATAGGCATAACTTCCTACCTATAGGCTGTTGGGAACGTGCCCTTAGAGGGCTGGGTGCAGATCCAGGGCTCCATGAAGGATAGCAATGCCCAACAACTTGTTTTCTGCAGGATTCCAGGAGGCTGAGGGAATGGTTGTGGCCTGTTAAAGTTGCCCTGAAGCAGTTCATCCCTAGTGTCAGCAGAAGCAAAGCCTGCAGAAGCCCTGGCCATGTGGCCTTTTAAGAAACCAATGGGTTCATTGAGGTCCTGACACCTTCAAATGCAGATGAATAAGCAGGGTTACAACTGGGGCTTGCTAAAAGTGTTTAAACGAAACAAAACAAATGTCTTTTGTTTCATTTTGTTTTGATACAGTGTCTGATGTAGCCTGGGCTGGTCTTGTACTCAATATGTAGCTAAGGCTGACCTTGGACCCCTGACCTTCCTGGATCCTGCATCCTGCAGGTATGAGCCACCAACCCCTGTAAATAGGCAAATGCTTTCCACATATATAAAGGCTGCATGAATGGTAATGGTCTTCGTCCCATCAGCTTAAGATAGTGATGTGCCCCTTCCATGTATGGTTTGAAGAGCTTCTTTCGTGCTCAACATTGCTGGATTGGGATTAAGGCAGGCCACATGGAAACAAAAGAAAGTAGCCAGGCATTTCCAGAACAGACTTGATCCTCAGAACAACTGAAGAGAGACTGGACCACATGGTGGGGGTTTGGGGTTTTCCAGGATGAAAAAGCAAGAACTTTGGGGACGGGAAGAGTCTATCTTGAGGTCAGTTCCCCTCCAGCCTAGAAATGGTAGATCCCAGTGGGTGACATATGTGGAGTTCCTGATCAGAAGTTCCCACAGGGGCTGTCAGTCACATCAGCTCTCCTGTCCAGAGCTTCTCAGGCCACCCGAGGCTCCTAGGTAATAAATCCTTTAGACACTGCATCTTGGTGGCACTTCCATTACCTATACTGAGAAATGACGCTGAAAAACTAAATCTGAGGCCCCTGGGACACATAAGACCCCTACAACAGACCCTGGACAATAAAGGCAGTCCCTGTACTGGAGGTGAGCCCTGAGTCCTTTGGAGTGATTGCCTGTGTCCAATCAGATGAGAATCTGCCTAGGATTTTGTTGGCTAAGCTCACCTTATCTCGTAACAGAGCAAGTACACCTTTGAAGACTTGAAGGCCAATGAGATTGCTCAGTGGCTAAAGCCTTTGCCACCAAGCCAGCTGACGTGAGCTTGGAGGGAGAGGACCAGCTCCTACAAATTGTCTTTTTACCTTCACATGTACACCGTGGTACACACACACACACACACACACACACACACACACACACACACACACACATTAAATAAATATAACTTAAAAGAAAAAGGTTCCAGGTACCATGAGGTCAACCTGGGAGAGGAGACCTCTAGGCTGGAAATGGAAAAAACTTAGTTCAGGCACTGGACTCCTCTCTTCAGTCAGCCATGGGCCCTACAGGTCTGACTTCAGCCTGGTGCCCTTGAGATGGTCCTCCCACTGCAGAGGACCCCCTGTCCAGATAGGTAAGCTGAGTCTTGGGGTAAGCAGGAGGCAATGGTTGCTTACCCAGAATGCCACGGCCCACCCTGGGGACATCTGCCTTCTCAGTCAGCAGCAGGGCTAGACAGTGCAGAGGATCCTCCATCTTGTTTTCTTGCTGGGGTCATTTCATGTTTAATTACACTCTGATCTCCTTGATGGAGAATCCCTTGGAAAATTACCCAACCCTGTTCTAGGAACCAAAAGGTCAGGATGTCCCAGTTAGCTTATCTTAGCTTCTGTTTGTACACAACACCTCCAGCTGCCATGATGCCAGGAAGTGATTTTTGTCTTAAAAAACCCTGTGTGCTAGACACTGGCTCTGGCTACAACTAGGTCCCCTAACACTTGGGTGTAGTCCCAGCAGGCTGGAATAGAGACTGACTTCCTTCCTTCCTTCCTTCCTTCCTTCCTTCCTTCCTTCCTTCCTTCCTTCCTTTCTTTCTTTCTTTCTTTCTTTCTTTCTTTCTTTCTTTCTTTCTTTCTTTCTTTCTTCCTTTTTCCAAGACAGGATTACTCTGTGTAGTTTTGGTGCCTCTCCCAGATCTCGCTCTGTAGACCAGCCTGGCCTCGAACTCACAGAGATCCGCCTGGCTCTGCCTCCCAAGTGCTGGGATTAAAGGCGTGTGCCACCGTCGCCCGGCTGAATAGAGACTTGCAGTTGGCTATAAATTGTGTGTGCGTGGTCATCTCTGGTGAACACCCCTGTAACATCCCAAGGACATTTGCCGTTGTTGGTTTGGTTGTGGGGAGACTTCTAACCCACTCAAGTCCTGTCCTCAAAGACTGTCAGAGTCAAACAAGGAAGCAGGCAAAAGAGTCAATGCCATCCCCCCCTCTGTGTGACCGAGACCAGTCCCTGTAGGGCAGGGAGGGGACGATGGGCACAGGAAATGGGGGAAGGGAAGGGGTTTCACTCTCAAAGCTGAATTCCAAAGCCAGCAGGATGGCAGGGAGGAGGAATCCAGTCCAACCGGATTCCAATTCCCTGCGGGCTACTCTGACTGGTGAAATCTTGTAGAGTGGACACTGAAGAACTGGGGATGCTGGAGGGGGTGGGGGGAGGATGGGGATGGAGGGGTTGTGAGGGGCAGAGTCAGATTGAGCGGTTTAAGGACCCAGTTGGGGGTGGGACTAACGGTGGGCCTTTGCCGTTAGAGTATGCGTTTACAAGGCTGATGAGGTCAGCAGCTTGTTTTATTGGGGCAAAGATTTCTGCAGTGTGCTCCTGGCCACCCCTCCATCCCCAGAGGCTGGAAGAAGCCCCCCTAGACTGACCAAGAACCCCTGCCAGCCCTCTCCCCCAGGCCCTAGCACTCTTGCGGTGACCCAAATCCCATCCCTGCTGACCACCCCCAGTCCCTCTTCCTTTCTCAGGATCTAAGCATTCATTGTAAGTGCCCAAAGAAAAGGAACTAGGCGCTGTGGTGCATAATTACCCAAGGATCCCTGCTGTTTCCAGACTGGAGGATGGGGAACTCAAGGCCATCCTCCAGGCAGCACCCAGCCTATTGACTTGATACCCTAAGCTACACTCTCTTCCACTGAGCGAGCCCTGATGCCATGCCTGGCAGTGCTCACCTCCAGAGGTACCCCAGGCCTGATGTTGTTTCAAGCTCCCCTCCCCTGCCCGTTGATCCTCCAGGTCTATCCTTGGCTAGGATTCTCTGCCCTTTTCAACTCTCCACTTCTTTTTTTTCTTTTCAGGGGGCTGGGTGGATGAGGAGGGACGGGACAGTTTTGTATGTAGCCCTGCCTGACCCTCCACCTTGCAGCCGGTCTCCAGCTTGTGACTACAGAATAGTGAGATTACGGGTGTGCACCCCCACACTGTCTCCGTTTATCCTCCCCACATCCTTATTCCATTCTGAAAAACACTGTTGTCCTTCCCGGATGAGATGCTGTGGGGACTTCTCTCTGGGTGCATTTCTCCTTTCTGGGCCTACCAGAAGACGGCCCCCTTCCCCGCCTGCAGGGAACTAGACACACATACACATGTGGCTTGCTGCGTGGGTCAGCTTCTCTTTCCTGGCAGACACCTCTGCCCTCTTGAATCTAACTAGTGTCAACAGAGATTGAAGGTATAGCTCAGCGCTAGAGCGCTTGTCTAGCATGCATGCACGAGACCCTGTGTTTGATGGCAAGGACCAGTGAGGGTGGTAAAGGAGGGACCTAAGAGTTGGCAGCCCTGAGAACCCAGGGCCCACACCATGGAAGGGTACCTGTCCACCATCTGAATGGACTAATGGAGAGAGGTGACATATGCCCTTTCAGGCCCAAGAGCTGTTATGCTTCCCCTAATTCTTTCCCTTCCTAGGTGCCCTAGGCAGCTACAAGATGAAGGGAATGAGCATCACGATGAGGAAACTCATGGAGTCACCATGTGGAGGAGAGGTACCCGGGCAGGAGCGTCTGCAGAGATTCTGGGTGAGCCAAAGCAGAGGTCTGTGGCATTCAGCCACTAACACTGGGGCTCCTTGTTACAGTTCCACCCGCTAACCCATCCCCACTGACACGGGATTCTTTCCTCTGCCACGCCCACCTGGCACACCTGGCCCCCGTGGTGAAATGTCTGCTTTCTTCTCTGCCTTCTCAACTGAAGAGGACAGGAAACAGAAACTGGCTAGGCAGTTTAGACAGGGACTCTGAAAGTGAGCAGTTTTGTTCTTTTTTTCTTTTTTTCTTTTTTTTTAAGATTTATTTATTTATTATGTACACAGAAGAGGGCGCCAGATCTCATTACAGATGGTTGTGAGCCACCATGTGGGTGCTGGGAATTGAACCCAGGACCTCTGGAAGAGCAGTGGGTGCTCTTAACCTCTGAGCCATCTCTCCAGCCCCCAGTTTTGTCTTGACCTTGGGGAAAAAGCAGGAAATGTCCTTATTTCTCTGGCCAGGAATTCTAAAAGGAAGCCCTGGTTGCTGATCTAAGTGAGCATTCTCCCTGGAGACTTTACACAAAGGTGTGATTGAAAGTGCAGTTCCTGGTCCCTTCTGGGTGTACAACTTTGGAATTGAGTCTCTAAATTGTCGTGGTAGAAATAGATTATATATTTTCCCCAACTTCAGCCCATCTCCTAGGGTCTCTTCTCTCGGGGAGGGGGTGTTGTTAGTCTTAGAGATCACTGACGATGAATAACAGGGCTCTGTAGAGGTCCATTAAGGGAAAGATGTTTCCCCCAGGTCAAAAGAATGGAATCAGCCCAGCCATAGTGGTGCGTGCCTTTAATCCCGGCACTCAGGAGACAGCAGCAGGTGGATCTCTGAGTTCGAGGCCAGCCTGGTCTACAAAAGTGAGTTCTAGGACAGCCAGGACTGTTACACAGAGAAACCTTGTCTTAAAAAAAAAAGGAGCCGGGCGGTGGTGGCGCACACCTTTAATCCCAGCACTCGGGAGGCAGAGGCAGTCGGATCTCTGTGAGTTCGAGGCCAGCCTGGTCTACAGAGCGAGATCCAGGAAAGGCGCAAAGCTACACAGAGAAACCCTGTCTCGAAAAACCAAAAAAAAAAAAAAAAAAAAAAAAAGGAATCTACTACCTCTAGACCTGTGTAGAAACAGGTCTGACCTTCTGACCTATTCCGAAAAGAACATTACATACTGTTGTCTCATCTCTTAAGTGCATCTATCTGGGCCTGTTAATCACCTAACTAGGAAACCACTCCTCAGGAAGGCTGACTCACATGCTAAGGAGATGGCAAGAATAGCGATCCCCTTAGTAAGATCATAGACTCACCCTTCCCAAAGAAACCTCACCCTTCTCCCTTTTCTGATTTCTAGTCTTTTCTCAAAGTCTAAGTGTGATTTCCCTGGTGTTCTGGGCTTTCTCACTCTTTCGCTGAAGCTACCACCCCACCCCACCCCCATTCACGTGGCTGCTTATGAACAACATGGCCTTCTCTTCCTCTACCCCTTCTTCTTCCTCCACGCAGCTGCCAAGACTCACAGTCTACCCTGGTAAAATGCTAATAAACTTGTCCTTGAGTGTCTGTCCAAGTCCATTTCTAAATTCTTTTATCAATAAGACTGAGAATCCAAAAGAGAAACCTGGAGAACGTGCTAGAACCAGTTAAAACTAGTTTTACTTTACTGGGTTGTTTGTTTGTTTGTTTGTTTTGGGACAGGGTCTCACCATGTAACTTTAGCTGGCTTCTGACTCACAGAGACCCGTGTGCACCATGATGCCTGCTCTAGTTTTACCTGGTTTTAATGGGAAACTTGGTGTGGTTCTTACACTGCCCTGGTTGCTACATACTGTGTGTTTGTCGGCTTGCTGCCGCGAGACAAAAGACCAGAGATGTGAAACTTACTAGGAGAGGCAGGTCCTGGGAAGGAGGATGTGTGTCCTTGGGCACTACCACCTGCTGTAACCCTCTCTCTGCTGCCCAGATGCCATGGCGTGAACGGCTCTGTGCTCCCTCCCATGAAGGACTGAGCCCCATGAAACCATGAGGCAAAATAAAAACTGTTCCTCTTAAGTTAAAAAGGAAATCCAGGGCGTGGGGTGGCGACACACTCCTTTCATCCTGGCACTTAGGAGGCAGAAGCCAGTGGAACCCTGAGTTCCAGGTCAGCCTGGACTAGGTGAGATCCTGTCTCAAAGCGAACCTGAAGCAGTAAGGTTCCAGGCCCTTCACTGAGGCCCTAACGACCTCTGAACGTTGTACTGGGGGTGGTCCATAGCCAAACCACAACAGCAGGCCTGTAGACCACTGCATCTGCAGCTCCAGCAAGAACTCTGCTTTTCTGTTGGTCCTGGTTCCAGCAGGAATGGAGGAGCAGGTCGCTTCCTGCTGGAGTTTCCGTGCGAAATGCCTCCCAGAGGTTACATGTTGAGACTTTGGTCTCCACCTCTGGCACTATGTTGGGAGGATCTGGAGAGCAGGAGGTGGGGCCTACCTATCTGGAGGAAGTAGGTCACTGGGGCATGGTCCTTAGGGGTTTATCTTGCCCTGACCCTTCTGTCCCTCCTGCCCCCCTGCTTCCTGGCTGCCATAAAGTGAGAAGCTGTGTGCCCATACCCTGTTTCTGTTTCCAGAAACAACAGAACTAAAATGAACAGACATTTCTGAGACCACGAGCCAAAGGAGCCTTCCCTCCCTTGCCTTGTTTTTCGCCAGTATTGCATTGCAGAGATCAAAGTCTGACTGCCCTGGGTCCTCACCCCCAAAGCCAGCACAGTGGAGAATTCCACACCACAGAAAGGGCATTGGAAGTGGGGCAGCCAAACAAAGCAGCTGAGGCTCCTAGCCAGAGCGGTTGATCATTTGACCAGCAGAGCAGTGGGTGTGTGCTGAGCACTCAGTAGGCACCAGGCCCTGTGCTCAGCTTACCATACACGTTAAACACTCATCCTCACTCTGCCCTGTGGGGAGGGCATGCTGTCATTCTGATTTTCAGATAACCAGACAGATAGAGAAGAATTTGGCCACCTGGCCGGGACACCAAACGTAGGAAACACAAGAAGACACTCACGTGCCAAGCTGATGGAGGACTCTTTAAAGACCTTGTAGAGCCAGAGGACCTGTTAGCAACTTCTCAGTAGCTGCTGGTGTTGCAAGGCCTGGAAGCCAGTGAACCACACTTCCCAGCATCTGCTGCAGTATGCAGTAGTGTTCTTAGAGCCTGTTATCCAGAGGCACTTGCCTAATCCCTGGAAAGCCGGAGACAGGTGGTAGTGGGGGCAAGTGGGGATCTTTCCAGATGTGACACTATGCCTGTGACCTCTGTTGGGGTGGAATCTTCCTGTGGATCATTACCCTAAGTGATCAGAGTCCTTATGAAAGGTTCTGGGCTTAGGGCTCAAGGGGAACACTGAGAAGGATTGTTCTTTAAAAAAAAAAATTTTAAACTCAGGTTTTTCTTTTTTTTTAATTTATTTTTATTTTCTGTGTATGAATGTTTTGCCTGCATGTATGTATGTATACCACATGTGTGCCTGGTGTCTGCAAGGCCAGAGGAGAGCATCAGATCCCCTGGAAGTAGAGACACAGGTGCTGTGAGCCATCATGTGGTTGCTTGGAGTTGAATCTGGGTCCTCTGCAAAGCAGCCAGTGCTCTTAACCACTGAGTCATCTCTCCAGCCCTGAATTGTCCTTTTTATCAGAAATTTATTATAATTAGTAATAAGTTTAACATCATAGGCAGGCAAACAGCAGCATGGCTGGGGAGCTGCAGAGAAATCAGGCCCATGTAGCAGAGCGTGTTGAGTCCCTTCTTTAGGGTTCCAGAGAAATAGGGGCAGGGAAGGAGGTTAAAAATTTTCTTTGTTGATCCACATTGGTTGTTGCTAGGGTAACCAGGGACTATTCAGAATGCCAGGTGATGGCTTAAACCAGGGCTCCATGGGCCAGAAAGGCATGAATATAGAGAAAAACTTCCTTAGTCCTGGATACTAAATTACTGGTAATGATGTGAAGTGTCACAGTTCCACCAAATGAAGGAGCTTACAAAATGTTGTCACCTGGCTACCACCTTGGTCCTGGCTTTAGGAAGGAGCTATTGACTCTCCCTATCCCCTCCTTCTATTTGGGAACATTAACAAGCATTAACCTCACCCAGGCCTTTTGAGCCTTGTGTACTCTGCAGGACAGGGCCATAGACCACTGTTGACAGAGCTTCAGGGCAGGACGCTGCCTGGCTCTGAACTGCACAGACAATCAATATCTAGGCTGGCCTATGGCTGATCTTGGGCTTCTGAATCCCATCACCGGGGCTGGTTGCAAATACAGGTGAAAGGTCTCCCTGGTGGTGGCATTCAAGGCTCAATGCTAGGAAGCAGAGAACCCCAGGAGGAAAGAGTTCTGCTGCCTCAGAGGCCCTGCTAAAGTCCCAAGATTGCATCTGTTTAGCCCATCTTGGTCATCTATTCAACCCTGGACTAATCATGGTGCCTAATTAATGCACCTACCCACTGGGTAGCCCTGGAGTGAAGCCAAGCATGTGGGAAGGTCTGCTCCAAACCACATCAAGGAGAACGATGTGGCTTTTCCAGAGAAGGGGGAAGGAGAGCCCAGGAATCAAGCCCCAAAGAGAAGTCAGGCTGGGGGCCAGTCGCCGGTCCTCAGCCCTGTTTTCTTTACCAGCTTGGGCGGTGTGGTCTGGAGCCGAGTCCAAGAGACAGGAAGAAGCAATGTCCTCTTGAGGAAGGGACACTCTGTCTCCTTCCTTATGAATGAGAACCCTCCCTGGCTGCCTGTCTCTCCGACCTCCACCAGCTGATCCGATGCCAAACGCTGGGCTGTGAATCATCTCATTTCATCCTCACCTAGAACCACAAGCATCTGTCTCACAGCTGAAGCCACTGACATGCACAGAAGCAAAACAGACATCCAAAGACAGGATGCAGCTCAGTGACCTAACAGGCCAATGCCCGAGGCCTTGGGTTTAGCCCACAGCACTAAAATGGAGTAAGATAATACATATTACA